GATCTTAAAACCGCGCGGGCCCACACACAACCAACTCACTGGTATGCTTCTGGAGCTGAATGTGCAGATGGTGAAGTTTCAGCAGTGACCTGGACGTGCGTGCGAACAACGGCCTGTAATGATCACCTTTCAAGGCTGACACGCCGCCGAGTACATGGGCAAGCTGTTGGCTATCTGTTTGCATTCAGAATGCACCATCTGTCGCCCAAATGAGCCCCAGGAGCTGTCACGAAGGTTGGGCTGCAAGAGCTCAGATACCCCCGTCGGGAGGCGGACCGCGACCGGCATCGAAAGAACACCTTCTGCTCGCTCCGCCCGTTGCGCCGGAAGTCACCACTTCCTGTACCATCGTGTCGGCCCTTGCGAATCGACGCTAGTCGACGCTATATCGACGCTACTCGTCTCCAAACCGACGCTGAGTCGACGCTGACCGACGCCAAATCTGCGTTATCTCGTCGACTCCCACACGCTAATCGACGCTAGTCGGCGAGAAAGACGGAATTAAGAGGCCATACCAGGCCCCCACGACGCGCTACCGAGCACCACTGACTGCAAAGGCCCTCCGGAGACAACTCGAACGTCTTTATCCACTTGTTTTAGGCGAGGCCCGTCCCCCTACAGGAGATGTTGGACGAAAAATTCAAACCACCCAAAAAATCTCAGAAAGCTCGAACCGTATATATATATATATATATGTGCGTGTCTATAACTATATGTATACATATATTCTTCGACCGAAAAAGTTATACTACTTTCGAATCTTCAACCTGTAAAAGGGACAGACCCGACACAACACTGAGAGGCCATACCAGGCCCTCACGACGCGCCACCGAGCACCACTGACTGCAAAGGCTCTCGGAAGACGACCCGAACGTCTTCACCCACTCGTGCCTGGAAGAGCAACTCCGCCGATGCGCCCCCCCCCGACCGCCTCCGCTCGTCTGCCGCGCGCGGGCAGAGGAGGCCCCCAAAGATTTGCCGCTGCGTGCCCCGCCCTCGAGCGCACGATCCCCGACCGACCGCCGTCATCGTCTTGAATGCACTGCCAGCGTTCGCGCTGTTCCGAGGCGGGAATTTCTACATGACCACAGCCTGGAGGGTCAGTTTTCGGAGCCTCGACAGGCGGTGGATATGGACATACTCGGGTCCCCCAGGGCCAACATAGATTCATATCCACCGCCCGGCGGGGCACCAGAACGTCGGTTACCAGGCGGTGGACATGGATAAATCCCTCCCTCGCAGCCGTCTCTCCCCCACCGCCCTGTCGATCGGCAGCCGCGCGCCGCCGCGAGCGGGCTCTCACCAGAATCTGCGCCCCGGGAGCGCACGCCCCGAGCCGACCGATGCACGGCGCGCATCGCACGCACGGGAGCAAACTCCAATCCAGCTGCTGACACCAACCTTGCGATACAAAACGGAGCTCGCTGGTTTCATAGCATCGTCGATTCGTCGGGGCGGCGGCAAAAACGAAAGACCCCCCGCAACATCAGAAGCTCCCACGCCCTTCACGCACGCAACAATCCGGCAGCATGGCGCCAAGTCTCTGAACCGCGCACGGCGCAAGCTGCAGGCCCCATCGCTCAAGCACAAAGTCACTAAGCAGCTTCAAGACTGGCGCGTTCCAACTTTGCAGCGCGGACTGGCGTCGGTAGCGACAGGTTCCGGCACGGCCCAAATTGGAATCCACGCTGTCGCCCGCGGCCCCTTTGGGGCCCAGATATTAGCCGAATAACATGAGTCCGTTTTCTTTTTTGCGAAATAACGCGGTTCCGCGCTGCTCCAAAGATAAAAGCCCGATGGAACAACCCACCGCACATGCACTGCGATGAGCTCACCGCGAGAATTGCGACATTGAGCGATGAACTCGCGATGATGATGCATCACGCCCTCCCCGGCGGCACACAATACTACGCTGTCGGCCCAGATCTCACGGTTCACGAGGAGCCCAAATTCTCCGTCGCCTGGCAATCTATATCCAATCCATGCCTCCATCCACACACTGACTAGCTCTGACATGCGCTCTAATAATCCCCTCCACTCACCTGGAGTTTCCACTCCGCCCCGCCTGCTTCCTCCTGCACACGTGCATCGCCCATCTTCGCCTACCAAGGGCAAGCGGACGCCCGCTTCACGCCCGCTCGGTCACCGCGCGCACAGGCCGAAGCCGCGCGAAGACACTCCGCAATTGAGCAAGGAATCCTTCGCCGGCCCACGCGCCATCAGAACGCCCCGTCACCGACCTATCACCGGCGGGCCCCGAACGGAGCGATGAAACACTTCGCGCGCCGGCCCCGTCATCTTCGCTGTAGATGCCCCAGCTCGGGACACGCGGGAGCGGACGCAGGACGGACGCGCTGAATCCCTGAGCCTTGGACGCAGCATTCCCAGATACGACGTTTGAAGGTTGGCCGATTTGGAGATCCAGCGCAGGTCTCCGAATCGCCCCATAGCTTTCGCCTTGGACAGGCAAGCCGACACATTCCAAGAAGCACCAGTAGGGCGATCGCGGCACCGATGAGCCCGCATAAGCGCTCCGCTGAAAAATGAACGCGAAATACACCTGAGAACGAGATCGCGCGACACACACCCGGGGCAATGCCACGCGCAGGCCCTCGCCGGCAAGACATCCTCAAGCTCGATATCCTCGAAGCCGCGGCCGCCCAGCGATCGTTGCGAGCTGCCCGCCACAGCCGTCGCGCCTGTTCGCCTTGCCGCGAACGCGGGTTGTCCAGGCCCGCACATTGGCCCGCGCCGAACTGGAACGCCCCCCCCAACCACTCCTCTGTAGAAACTTTGGACGCCGCCCATTTCGAAGGAAGCCGGCAGCGCACGGCCCCTTGATATCGCGTTTTTGTTCAGACCTTCAACCCTTCCAGCCGCTCGCGGAGAAACAGATGCTGGAGTGGCCCTCCGAGACACCCAATACAAATTCAACGACGATATTCTCCCCCTGTCGATTTCGACCCAGAGGAGCGCCCAGATGTTTTGACCCGCGCGCGGCGCCGCGCATGGAAGCCGCCCCCTGGGCAGCGGCAAGCGGCGGAGAAACGCCCACGGGAGATCTCGAACAGAAAACCACGACGAAGTCGCCCCAACGTCGGGGGCGCCCAAGAGGGGGAGGCGGGGGGGGGCGCGCGTCGCGGCCAGCGGCGCGCGCGCGGCCCAGGGGCGGCCAGAGGTGAGCGCGGCAGTTCACGGTTTGGACATGTGTAGCGAAGCCCCCCCTGGTGAGAAAGATGGGCCACGGGCCCGTGGACTGGGTGCTCTCAGGGCCTGGCCCCGCGCCGGAGAGTCTAGGCGACGCCCCGCGCAGTCGGGCCATGTGTTGCCCGGC